ACGTCTCTCCCGAAACCAAATTGAGGCATGTATCCGGTGTGCTCAAGGGGCTTATGGCATTGAAATCAGTTTCCTCGTCTGGATCAGGTATTTGGGTTCATTTTCTCAAAAATACTAGATGATAGGCCTCACATTGCAGTGGGGATTCGTAGAGAAGAACCGATGCACTGCTGAATGTTTAAAACCATACAATTCAAATAGATAATAAAAATATTGAGTTATATGACTGGAGTAATCGGTAAGTGCATTGGTAAACTATTCATTGACTTTGCAGTTCGTCTTGTCATCAGTAAGAATGATAATCACATGCTTTGGTTCATTAATGATGTATTCCATTGTGAAGAACGGGTGATCAGATGGAAGAATGTTTGGGATGGCTGTGCACTGGAAGCTCCCAATTGGCTCTTGTCTTGAAAAGTTAGGAAATGGCTGTTTCATCTTACCATTTGGTTTTTGAATTGCGTCAGTATATATGTTGTGAGCTTTTATCCCTGAGTGAATGGCAGAAGTTGAAAACACATATCCAGTGGGGTTCAGTGGCATGATGGGGGGAAAGAATTGTACATGAAGGTAGGAATATAAAAGTGAAAGACAATGGTTGAGTGACTAATACCTGTTTTTGCCTTGGTGCCGCTCCATATATCATAGATCGAATGAGACTTAGTCTTCAAATATGTGTTTCTACTAACACTACTGGAATTTCCTACGCCGAGTGCCAGGCTCTTCGCCGAGAGTCAACTCACGGACACTCGGCAAAGCAACGTAAGCCGAGAGGTATACTCGGCAACAGCTGCCGCACGATAAACACTAGGAGCATTGCAATGTTGCGTGTTTACTTGCTGCAGAGGTCACCGTCATCTACGGCGATGTGCATGTCGCCGAGCAGCGTTTGGAGTGGTTGGACAAGAAATGCCGCTGGGTGTAGTGGTTAGCACGTCCGAACTAGCCTTGAGAGAGGTCTCAAGTTCGACCCCAGTAACGTTGATTTTACACGCGAGTTTATTTCTTGCATAGGCTGACAAGTGGGACTCGCCAGGATTCGGTCTCTACATAAGCAGAGTTGACCGCTGCCGACAAGAAATGCATCCTATTGCATAGTTAAGCTAACTTTTTGCACCAAAAAGCAGAATTTTCCAACATAAGGCACTAAAGTGAACATGCAAGCCAAGTTTAAAGTATACCTCTTAAATGCTCTAAACTCTTTTTTATCCTCCTTGCATCCACCCTTTTAATCTTTGGATATCGTATTTTTTTTTCAGGGTGTAAGTGTATGCCGACATATAACCTTACAGGTTTTTCATCTTGTGAGTGTAAGGGCATCTCCAGCCGCGCCCCCAGGAAGGCCTCCCCAGGCGTTTTTTTCGCGCCGGCGCTGAAAAAACGGCCCAGTCGCGCCCCCAGGAGCCCGATTTTCGCCGGCTTGGGCCGAAAACAGCGCCGGCGGACCCAGCCCGAACCCGGCGTGCTGGGGGGCGCCCGGGGGCGCCGGGCGAACTGTTTTGGCGCGAAAAAGCCACGGGTCCGCCGCGTCAGCGACACGGCTCTCTTCTCGGCCCTTCCTCGTCCTCATCGCCTCGTTTCCCGCGGCGAATCAATGCCAAAGCTGCCGCGCTGCCGCGCCGGTCAGCCTGCACCATTGATTCCTCACGGGCGGCGTAGTGAAGACCGGACGACGCGCGTCCCTCGCCCTCCCTCGCCCGCCACGCGTACACACGGTGACACGCGCGCCTTGGCCTATATATGAAGCGCCCCGGCGCACTCGGCGACTCACACTCTCCCGCCACCGTCGTTTCGTCCCTCTCCTCTCCTCTCTTTCGCCGTCCCCAGTTCACAGCCATGGCCGAGCGCTTCCCAGGCGACGGCGCGGCGGCGAACGGCTTCGGCCGCCGCCATCTTCACGAAGACGAGGCTCGCCTCCTTTACGAGGTCTTGAGAGAGGTCTCAAGTTCGACCCCAGTAACGTTGATTTTACACACTAGTTTATTTCTTGCATAGGCTGACAAGTGGGACTCGCCAGGATTCGGTCTCCACATAAGCAGAGTTGACCGCTGCCGACAAGAAATGCATCCTATTGCATAGTTAAGCTAACTTTTTGCACCAAAAAGCAGAATTTTCCGACATAAGGCACTAAAGTGAACATGCAAGCCAAGTTTAAAGTATACCTGTTAGATGATCTAAAGTCTTTTTTATCCTCCCTGCATCCACCCTTTTAATCTTTGGATATCGACATTTTTTTTCAGGGTGTAAGTGTATGCCGACATATAACCTTACAGGTTTTTCATCTTGTGAGTGTAAGCCATTGTGAGTTTCCATGATCTTGCTTATGTATACGTACGACTTTGAAACTGAAATTAATCCGATCATTCTTAATCAGTTGCAATAGGTAATAGGTATTAATACATCACTGCATCGGTCCACTAATGCAAAACGACCTGATAATGTATATTAAAATCATTATTGTTTACTGTGTGCACATATGTATTGGTGGTTCATAAATGTCAGCTTGGCCACGGATATCCAAATTATTAGTGTTTTATCTTGACACAAATATTTTGATGCTCATTTTGGATATCCTCGTATTAATGAGTGCCCTATCTATTCACAAATATGTTGATGCTTATTATAGATGTTCTGGTATTAATGCGTCTATTTCATAGTTTCATCAATGCAACTCAATTTGATCATAATGATTATTATTCATTTTGTGCCTCCACAAAAAAAAGGTTTATTACATGTATAGATATATTGATGCCTGTTTTGGATAACCTTGTAATAATATGTCTCACTTTTATGTGTGTATTTTCCCTTCATCGAATGGATATGATAATTGTTATTCTTTTAAGAGTTCTTCAGGATGCACATAATTTAGTTTGTGGTTACAATCTGGACGTCAAAAAGATCAAGGCCCCTTCGTTATGAAATTTGCTCTCGCATGCTCGAATTGAACAGTTCCTTGATGAGTGTCGAGTGAGACTCCATGCATGTCTCTATGATGAACAGACAAACTTGGGCGGATATATCACCATCTTGGCATGGCAAAGAAGGGCAGTTGAAGAAAAGATGTACGCTTGTCTCTAGTAATATTGTTTTCTGTGTGGAGATTATCTCTAGTAATACTGAACCACGCTTGACACATGACTAGTCATGGGTGAAGAATTTTTTCCTTGACAACATTTCCCTAGTATTCAGTCTGTTTTGTTGAAACCCCAGTTGATACATGACTAGTCATGCAAATTGAAGATAGGTTCCACAAGGAGTGAACCAGTGCTATTCTTGTCAGCCTTTGAAGCAGAAAGACAAACGGGGATGATCATATTTCCAAATATCCAGCTGGTCTGTTAGCAGTATCGCTTCTTGATTAAGTTCTTCTATAAATAAGGTGTTCACAACCATCCTTGTGTATATATCATTAGACAAAAAATGAGTAAAATTTATGACACACCAACGTTATGATTATTATTTCAAATAACAGTGCAAATGGATGCCAAAACAACATCCTTTCTCACAGATAATAACAAACATTATATTAATCATGGACGTCATATGATGCTAGCAGGCCGGTGTTGACTTGGACCATAAACTGCAGCTCAACATTTTCTTTGGCGAGGACCTCCACCCCTGGCGTATCTTCAAGCCCGATCGAGCACTTGTTGAGCGGGGTGAATGACATTTCCACATAGTGAGTCAGACGCAATGGCTGCCGCCCACTCTTGTCTCCTTGGTAGTCCCTGATCAAGCCTTGGCAAATGTTGAGGCGTCTCACCACATGGTCATAGTCCACCTCACAAAAACTAAGAACCGGCATCATCACCATTCCCTTCTTGGCATCTTGCAGCATTTTCTTGATCTTACCGCCAGCGGCAGTGACATGGCTCTTAAGGATGTCGATAGCGACGAGCACTAGGGCACGGAGGTCCTTAGCCTCGGCACTCTGATTGTCCGACTGGAGGGTGGACAAACAGAATTCTTGCGAGAAGGGATCGCCGTAGGGGTAGTTGATCGAGGCGTTCTTGCATGCTTCCACCATGAGCTTGGTCGCTTTGGGCTTCCCACTGTCAGAGCTGCTGGATTGAGCAGTTATCACTGCAGAAAGGAGCATGAAGAGGATGGTGGAGAAAATGATGGTTGTCCTTGGCATTTTTGCGATCACAACAGGGATAGCTAGAAGCCTAGAAGTACTGAAGTGCTGAGACATATGAGAGATAAGTGGAGATAAATAGACAGAGAAGGATGTGTATTGCAGAGATGGATGGATGGAGGCGATGTACATGCGGATGGGAATTCTTTATAATGATTGCAATGGGGTATCCTAAATGCAGTATGCACCTTTGGTCTCGTGGATATGTGCACTATCGGTGTGCAGTATCTGCTGAATGCTCTTTTTGGATCTCTACATATTAATGCTCTCTATGTTCGACGAATACACAGCTGCTCACTATAGATTTTCTTGTAGTAATACAAATCTTACTTCCATGAATTCAGTAATGCAACACCGCCTAATCATGAATATCCCAAATGATTAGTGTCCACTGAATCCCCATACATATATATGTTGATGCTCAGTTTAGTACGTCTTATTTTTGCTTTTTTTGTGTTCTAAACATTATTTTGTATAACTGATTTGTTACTTGTACCTCGTGCGGGGGTGGGGGCGCTGTTTCCCTCATCAACACTATGGTTGCTCAATTTTCCTTTGCAACTTTAGAGTAGTTACAAATAATTTCTCAGGGTGCAGCCACTTAGTTAACTTGTCCACACAAAAAATATTTTGGTTAAAATATAAAAAATTTCTATTTTAATATTTGTATTTAAAGTCGGTTTTGTCCGATGGGTTAACTTTTCAAAGTCGTTTTAGGGATTAAATGACCAGAAAGTTTCTATGGAGGTTGAGCTACATGGAACCCCTTAATCTCACCCCTCCAACATTGCTTTGGGATTTGTGATCTACAACTAATACATGATTTTTTTTTTGTTTCTCTCGAATGAAACAGCATATGGACTTCAAACTTGGCATAAGACAAACTTTAGAACATCAATGTGTGAAAAACCTTCCAGATGTATTAGTGTATACAAAATGAGACTTTTTTATTAAAGAAATTATTTTAAGCGTTTAAAATGCATGAACAAATCCTAATGTTTTTGTCCACACTGTAGTTAGAATTTTTTTGTTGTCCTACAAAGTTTGAACCTTATATGTTGTTCCATTTGAGAGAAAAAAATATAAATGTTCCTTCACGGATTGTGATGCAGAAATGTAATGTAAGGGGGAACGTAGTTTGAGAAGGATGATCTCGAAAAGACCTCCTCCCACGACGCTCCGCGAGCGTCCGGGAGGCTAACCCTAGCGCCGCCGCCTTCCCTCCCCTCCTCCCCCTCCCTCGCCGCCGCCAAGGGGCTCGGGCGGGCGGTGTAGCATGTGCGTCGCCGGCGGCGGTGGGGCTCCTTCATCTCCTCACGCGGGAGTGCGGTGGGCCGAGATGCGGCGCTAGATGCCAGGCGCGACAGCGCGGAGGTTCTCCGGAGCGGCGCAACGATGGTGGAATGGCAGCGGTGTGATGGGCGGCATAGTCGTGGTGCAGACCTCCAGGTGCTGACGGCGGCAGCGGCTTCGTGGCGGCCCGTACGGATCTGCCTCTAACAACGCAGATTGCGAGCGGCCTTTCTCATCATGGCGCGATGGTGAGGGGGGCGGCCCCCGTCCAGTCTAGCCCTTTTAGCCGGACGGCGGCGCTCGGCGCGGGAGGGCCTCCCTGGTGGGCTACCTTTGTTGTGGTTGTGGGTCAATTTGGTATCTCTCGTCGGTAGGTGCATGATTGTCGGTGGCCTCACGGGGATGTGTGCCAGCTGCCATGGTGGGCCGACTCGGGGGTGTGTCCGATCAAGAGTTCGGTAGGAAGGATGAGTGGCCTCAATGCGGTTGCGTCACCTTTCGCTGGCACAGAGGTGTGCCGGTCCAGATGCGTTTGCCCCTCCTCCCTCTTTCCTCGTGTTTGACGGGGAGCTCGATAGGAATAATGGGTGGTCTCGATGCGTCTGCATCACCTGTCACACGCATAGGGGTGCGCTGCTCCGCATGTGTCCTCTCCTCCTTCTCCCCCTTTCCTCGGCCTCACCCTGGTTGGCACCGGTCTGCCGATGTCCGGGGCGGAGTGTCCGCTGGTGGCTCAGTCGGTCGGGGGTTGCCGGTTGGGCCAAAGCCGGGGCCTTTGTGTGGTCTTGGGGTTGTCTAGTTGCAGGGCGGCGGCTCTGGCGTCGGGAGGCATGGCGTTTGGGGCGGAGCGTGCGTCTCATGTGTGGGCGGGCAATCCTTGCCATGTGGCATTGTTGTAGGTGGTTGAAGTCGTAGCCTTCCTGATGGCTCTGTCGCGGCGTTCCCTCTCCTCTCATCTTTCTCGGGGTGGAAACCTGATCTTGAGGATCGGGCAATAGTGGCTATCAATGGATGTACCCTACTAGGATGCACCGCTTTGGAGTCCTAGCTTCTTTGTTGACCGGCTCACCTCTCTATTGTGGATGACCATGGTGGAGGCCTCCGTCGGCTCCAAGCGGTCTTCCTCGCTCATCTGTAGTTTGCTTGGGTGTGAGTGGGGTGGTGTGTCACCGGCCGGCACCTTTGTATCTTTCCTTGGGTGTGTGTGTTGGGTGCAGTGGTGGTGTGTGTTTGTATCGGTATCTCGGTTGTAATTGATGATGGTTTCTTTATAATACACTACTAGGAAAATGCTTATAGATAGAATTTTACCAGTAGCGCCTTTTTATGACCCCACGCTACTAGTATTTACTAGTAGCGCTGGGCAGAAAACACGCTACTACTAATATATAACAGCAGCGTTTGTTTGCTTGGGCCGCGCTACTGGTACATGGGCCGCAGGGCAAAAACAGTAGCCCACTTAGCTGTATCGTTTGTTTTGAACGGGCGCTACAGCTGGTGGGCTTAGCAGTAGCGCCGGCCTCTAACCAGTGCTACTACTAGAGCAAAAGAAAACCGGCCCGAGCGCCCCCGCACCTCCTCACTCTCACAATCGATCCCCTCCGCCCGACGATGCTGCCGCGGTTAGGGTTCGTCCCCGGACGCCTCACCCCCGTCGACGATGCCGTGCACCGCCACCACGCACGGTCACCTCTCTCCTCCTCCGACGCTCCAACCCCGTAAGTCCCACTCGATCTCCTCCTCCCTGCGCGCGCCACACTAGCTTAGCTCCAATCGATTTGCCGCGGCGGCTTGCCATGTTTTGGGATTTAGGGATTGCACGATGGCTCCGCGCTTCGATGCGACATGCTCCACGCGTGATTGGGGAGAGAGTAGAGAGAGGGGTTAGGTGAGAGAAGTAGAGGCTTTTTGTTGCTCACCGAAACTTAGAAGAGAGTAGAGAGAAGTAGCTAGAGAAGTAGAGGCTTTTAGCACATATAATCGAAACTTAATTGGGTTTCAATTCTTGGCTGATGCCCGTCGAGGAGTGGTGGCGGCGGCGGTGCCTAGTGTTCTAGGGTTTAGAGAGGGGGCGTCCATGTCGTGCATTTTCTGGAGAGGAGCCACGGGCGGCGTCGTTTGTCGTGTGCCGTTTCATGTAGATGATAGGCTTCTGCAATGGGAATGATTATCCATCGTCTGTGGTTGCGTGAACGCCTCCACACGCTCAAGTTTGTCGATGGTGGTCGTACTATCGGCTCCACTTCTAAAATGGTGCCATGGGAGCTTTCGAGATACGCTCCTAGAGCCCTGGTGTTGTCTAGGGCGTGATTTCGCAGTCCACAATTGAGCAAGCAAACCGCATCTTCCAGGGCTGGCGAGCTCGTCCTGAAGATGGTGTGCTGGCGGAGCTAGCAGCTAAACTAGCTAACGTGATCGGCCGAGGACGAGAGCGTCCCATCGTATCACGTTGTCACGATATGTGACTATTGTTTCCGATATTTAGGATCATTGATGTAGTACTTGTAACTACTTGTCATTCCTTCGCTGGAACAACCATAGTGCTCGACCGTAGAATCGTGAGCATTTTTTTAGCTCTGATATGACAGCAACAGTTGAGGGTTTCAATTCTTGGCTACTGCCACTAGCTTCTTTGTTGATGCATATAAAGATATGACCAAGAAGCCCTCACTATTATGTGGTTTCATGGAAAAATCAGTGCTTGATTCGATACTCTTTCAGGTAGAAGAAAGTATCTGTATGTGGTGATGCTCAAATTGCCAAGTTGTTATGATGCTGTTAGTGAGCCCATTTTTGGTATATTTCAGAAAAAGAAAACACAGATAGACAGAGAGTTGTACCTGATCGAAAAGGGGGGTGTTTGCCTTTTATAGTTTTAATTATTGTGCATTGGATGCCAAAGGTGGAATGGATGTTTACTTATTGTGTTCTGGAAGATTCTAAGCTGGTTCAACTTTTGGACGTGGGAATAGATAAAGTGTTCCCCTGGACTGAACTTTATGTTTACTTTTTAGTTGTTATTTTGCTTGCCATGTGAACTCTAGCTATGAAAACTTTATGTTTACTTTTTGGATCGTTAATCCTTTAATCATATTGCTTTAGGGAAATGGCGTGACCACCACCACCACCACCATGTCGACGGTGCAAGTCAAGGTGCACCAGCAGCCTTGCAACTGGCATGCTGTTTGGCATCTACTTCGAGTCTAGTTTTCTGGATGCAGCGGTAATAAATTATATGAAACTAGAAACTACTATTTTGTTTTTTAGTGTTATTGGCATTAATGCATCATGTATATATCATTTTGCTTTTTGTACACAGATCGTCCCATGCAATGTGAGGTCAGAATTCAACAATCTTACTAGAGACTTTGTGACCTTTGAGGCTCCTGGGGGCCCCTACACTATGGATATCGAGAAAGGAGTAAAGATGATGCGGGTGGGAGGAGATGGATGGGTCCATTTCATCGACAACATGCGTATCATCGGTGGTGAGTTGATCAGCTTCTCCTTCAGAGCTGAAAGACCCAAGCTGGTCGTGATTTATGTCAACAAAGCAGAAGATTATGATGATGATGAGGATGATGAGGATGATGACGACCCACTCGGTGATGCCATCGTAGCTCAAAGAATGAAGTTGAGCGAGGAGGAGGTGTGCAACCTATGGGACATCATTCCGCCATGTGCTGAATTCGTCAGGGTGCCATTCGTGACCCGCCTGACAAGTACCATGGTTGATCGGCATATCATGGTATGTTGCATTTGCT